GTAGAGGCTGTGGTGTCACAGCTCACAGCAACCTCAAACTCTTGGACTTAAGTGATTCTCTTGCCTCAGCCTCCCAAGCAGCTGGGACTACAGGCACCCTCTACAACGCCTGGCTATTTTTTTGTTGTAGTTGTCATTGTTTAGCTGGCCCAGGCTGGGTTCAAACCCACCAGCCTGGGTGTATGTGGCCGGCTCCCTACTCACTGAGGTACGGGTGCCACCAAAACCTGACTTTTTTTCTCAGAAGGGGACTTATCCTTGTCTGTAACTGTAAACCCACCAGTGGGACAAACTTATTAATAGCCCCTATCCCTGCTAGACTCAGCCTCCCTGAGGGTGGGGACAGTGTCTGAGTTTGTTCGCCACTGAAGCCCATAATGGAGCCAGTGTCTGGCACACAACAGACTCCACTGACAAGAACCTATGGCAGGGAGACACAGGCCTGCTTCTCATCCCGTCTGCCTGGCCTCAGGCCACTTCTCACAGCCTTGGCAGGAGATAGTGGTGTCTGCTCAGGCAGGGCACCTGATTTCAGAGGGATGGAGGCCTCACCTGCACTTCCAAAACTCCAGAGATCCTAATGCACAGCCAGGGATGAGACCGCGGGCCTAGGGGCAGATTTGAGAGAGCTCCTTTTTCTTTCTGGGTCACCCTACGTGGGAAAGGGGTAAGGTGGGTGGAAAACACAGCCCACAGAGCTGAGAAGAACTGGTGGCAGGCATGAGGTGACAGCATGATGCACAGAACCATCGCTGTTCCTAAGCCTTTCTGCATAGTAGGCAATGTTGTTGCCCATTTTGCAGATGAGGCTGAGAGAAGCTCAGAGAGGTTAGCTGAGTTACCTAGAGCCACACAGCTGTGAACAGATGAGCAGGTGTTAGAACTAGGTGGCTAGAGCAGGACGGAGGTGGGGGTGGTGACAATCTTCAGGGCCCGTGCACCGGGCAGCGTAGCAGTGATCTCGCTCACACCTTGTAGGATTCTTTCCTCTCTGATTTTGGCTTCCACCCTCTCCTTGTCCCCTCCCTGTCCCACACTCCAGGGCTGGAAGCCCAGTCATCTGTGTGTTTAAAACTCCTCTGGCCTGGTTCTGAGTTCCCACCGGGTCTAGTGCACTCAAAGTCCAGGTTTTTAGCTCGAGGACAACCTCAGAAAGGATGTCACCGCCAAGCCAAAGGAGATGCTGTCTCTTGGCTTTTCCTGAAAAGACTGAAAGGACTGTCCCAGCCATCCAACCTGCACTTACATCACTATCCCAAACCCAGGGCCTCCCACTCACCTCACAAGCCAAGAGATCTGGACACCTGAGTTTAATTCCCATCCTGCTGTCCCCTACCTGGGTCACAATTAGTCCCTCTGAGGCTCAGCTTCCACAAAATGGGGGTGAGCACAGCACCTGTTTCTTACAGTGTTAAGAATCAAACACACTCCTACATATGAACATCCCCGGCCAGGCGGTCCCACCAATGCTTCTTGAATCTGAACGTGATGACAGTCATCTATGTTTTTAAAGAAACATATGACAAATCAGAGAAACACAATGTGTTTTTGAAAAACAACAACAACAACAACAAAAAAAACCATTTATTTCTGTAAACTGTTTGAGTGCGGAGATATTCTTCACAGCCCCAATGCAGTACAGATTTTCTTCCCCAAAACGAAATGAGCAAGGAAAAAAAGAAAAAGAACTACATAAAACGTGCTCATGAAAAACCAAGCCAATCTCATCTTTCTTTAAAAACAAAACAAAGCAGATCCTTGACTTTTCAGCGCAGGCCCAGGACTGACACCACAGACTTTCGAGTGGCCATGAGTGGTAGGGCTCACGGCTGGGGTGGCGGGGCAGCCCTCCAGCCCGCGCTCTTCTCTGCTTGCACGGGGACCTTTCTGTAAGGGAGGAGCCAGTTCTCGGTTTCTACCTAAATTCCTATTCCCCACCCTGGGCCTCTCTCCCTCACGCCTTGTCAGTTTGGGAGCCCCTAAAGTTATCCCTAAAATACGCCTCCTGTTAACTCTGGATGCAGACTTTTGCCTCAGTTCCAAACCACAAGGAAATTTCAGTCCAAAGGGCAGGAACAGGGCAGGTTTCAGACCAGGCGTCAAGGCTCCTGCCAGGCAAGTTTTAAGGCAAATTTTATCTCATCTTATTAGGTCTGAGCCAGACCTAAACGTCTCATCACTGAGCATTTCTGCCTCTATTGCTGACCACGTAGCTTAGGCAACTCTGAATGGGGTGGGGAGGGACTCTGGCCCAGTTCTAGGAGGTCTGAGGCTGACAAATAGGACAATGTGTGTGCTTATGAAGGCTGCAGGTGGTGGGCACAGCTCCTGGCCCTATGGACCCCTCAGCGGTAACAGGAGGGTGAGCCAAGGGAAACCGAGGTGGCAGCCCAGTCTCAGGCTACGGAAGCGATGCCAGGCGATGGCAGGTCCCACAGGGCGGCCTCATGGAGCACAGGAGAGATGCCAGGAAAAGGGGTCACCGCAGGAGGTACCGCAGATCTGGCGACATGCAGGACCTTGGCATCAAAATGATTTTTCTTTAGAACAAAAAAGGAGGGTGGGGGAAGAAAAAGAAGATCGAAGAAAGATGTTCCATGAGCTTCAGGAGACAGGACACAGCAGGGTTCATGAGGGAAGCAGGAAGAGGGTTTGGGGTGCGGACACAGGGTGGTGGGCGCTGCCTCTTGAGGCTTCTCCTCTGCCTGGTGGGCTGGTAGCGGAGGCCGGCGGGCCCCTCCCCCGGGGAGCAGGCAGATGACTTTGGCAAGGGGGGACGGGCACGGGGTTACTCTGTCTGGGCATCATAATTGGCTCCCCCCGCCTTCTTCAGCTCGCTCTTGATGAAATCTTCCTCCAGCTCCTTCCGATCGCTAATCACAAACTCTTTAGCAAAGTTCTGCAAGAACAAATGGAAACGCACCATGTTCACAGTGTTCCTCCTAAGAAGAGAAGGACGTGGTCTACGTGTGGCCCAGGCTGCACCTAGGACGGTTTGGCACCCGAATGATCATTTCAATGATCGTAATGAATACTCGGCAGCAGAGTTCATCGGCAGCATGATCACGTCTAGACATCAGGGACGAGGTGCGGTTGAGATGCTGCATTTTCCCGTGACAACAGGGATGGGCCGGGGGAAGCCTGGGCTCTAATTATGGCTCTATCATCTTCCAGCCACGTTACCTCGGGCAAGACCCTTCAACTCTCTGTGCCTCAACTTCCTCATCTGTAAAAAAACATCTTGTCTGGCCATAAAGTGCAAAAAAAAAAAAAAAAAAAAGCAAAAGACACACACACAAAAAATTTGTCAGGTGAACCGTAGGTTCTGAGGTTGGAAAGGCAGGTGGGCGTGCTGATAAATGTTTAACACTAGGCTTTCCAAAAAAGAAAAAGAAAAGGAGGAGGAAAACTCTCACTTGTAGCTTTTGCCCATTTCCATGGTGTAAATATCCCCATAGTGGTGGATTTCAAGCTACCAGCATGGTGTCCCCATCCATGAGGTTGGGATGATGGAGGCATGATCAGGGTTAGGGTTAAGGTTAGGGTTAGGGTTTGAATGCAACCCTTTGTTTGCATTCATTCAACAAACACCATGCTGATGGAGTCGAAACACATTCTTAATAAAGTATCGCAAGGATGGAAAAACAAGGCTGGACACGGTGGCTCACGCCTGTAATCCCAGCACTGGGAGGCCAAGGCAGGTGGATTGCCTGAGCTCACAGGTTTGAGACCAGCCTGAGCCAGAGTGAGATGCCATCTCTAAAAAATAGCCAGGCGTTGTGCTGGGCGCCTGTCGTCCCAGCTACTTGGGAGGCTGAGGCAAGGGGATCACTCGAACTCAAGAGTTTGAACTAAGACACCATGGTAGTCTACAAACGGTGACCAAGTGAGACTGTCTCAAAAAAAAAAAAAATGGAAAAGCAAGTATTTGGGGGTACTCAATACTAATATGAAGCCAGTAGATGAACTAATATACCCCCACAAGGAGCAAAACTCAATTCAAGTTGAGGGGACAGAGAGGGGATGGGCGAGAGGGGAGGAGGAGGGGGATGGGTGTTCCCCCTCCTAAGGGCACAATGTAGAGGTATATGGCACACCTCCTGGGGGAAGGACACAACTAAAACAGGGACTTTACCTAACAAATGCAGACATTGCAACCTAATCATTTGAACCCTCATATTAATCTGAAATTAAAAACAAACACCATGCTAGGTGATGGGGCTATAGGGCTGAACAAAACAGATGCAATCCACAACCACTTGTCCCCTTGGGGAACACAGCTTTTCCCCATGTAACCCACAGGCCTGGCACACATCAGGCACTTGGTAAATGTTTGTGGCGTGTATGAGTGAAGCAGGTGACCTGGCTTATCAGATAACTCTGAACTATGAAGATAAACAGTTTCTATAACATTTGGACCTAGACTTTCTATTTTCTTTGTTTTTGAGACAAAGTCTCATTCTGTTGCCCTTGGTAGAGTGCTATGGCATCACAGTTCACAGCAACCTCAACCTCTTGGGCTCAAGTGATCCTCCTGCCTCAGCCTCCCCAGTAGCTAGGACTACAGGCAACTGCCATGACACCCAGCTGTTTTTTTAGAGATGGGTTCTCGCTCCTGTTCAGGCTGGTCTTGAACTCCTGAGCTCAGGCTATCCACCCACCTTGGCCTCCTAGAGTGCTAGGATTACAGGTGTGAGCCAGCACACCCAGCCTGGATCTAGGACTTTAATAAAGAAAGAGATGTCAGGATGGTGATAGACAGGAAGCTACCAAAAATATAAAGAGAAAGAGAAATCTGTAGAGACAGAAAACAGATTGGCAGTTTTGTTACCAAAGGCTAGAGATGGGAATGGCAGGTTATAAAAATGTTCTAAAATTGGGTGATAATTGTACAGTTCTGCAAATTTACTAAACATCACTGAACTGGACAATGAGGATGAGTTTAATTTTGTAGTATATAAATTATACCTCAATAAAGTTGTTTTTAAAAAAATCCTCTCCGGCTAGGGCGCCAGCCACCTACACCTAAGGTGGCGGGTTCGAATCCCCAGCCCGGACCCGCCAAACAACAATGATGGCTGCAACCAAAAAATAGCCGGGCGTTGTGGCGGGCGCCTGTG